CTAACCCTAACCCTAGCTGGGGTTTCAACAGAGCATTTCTGCTATCTGTCTCTGAAACTCTCCAGTCATCTGATTTTCTAAAAATTGAAGATAGGATCAAATTATCACTTGTCCTTAAACTGCCTTGGGCCCCAGAATCCAGCAGTGAATGTAAAAAATGTATCTGCAATCTGTCTCTAAAGCCCTCCAGCCATCAGATTTGAAATGTTCCTCAATCCAAAAAATATTTGTCTTAAACAATCAAAAATGTTGAGAAAACCTCTTGGAAAGTCATCTTCTTCAATAATCTGCCTTCTTTAGGCAATCGTTGAAACAGGTGAACGATGCTGAAAAGATGGATTTTAATCAGGGTGCATTTTAGGCCAGTGTAGGGTTAATTTGCTTTTTATTTCTTCTTCTATAGTGGTTTCAAAAACCACCCTTCCTCAGTTCTTTTAAGGTTTTTTTGGTTGATGACCTGTATAAGCTAAACGATTTAAGGAAATACATTTACACATCTTTCACATGTACATTATAACCTTTTATAACATTTATTTTAATGTAAGGTCACAATTTTGTCAGTGGGTCTTATCAGTATCATATCTGACTTTAATTAACTGAAATTAGTTAGCATTATAAATAAAGTCCAGTTATTAAATCATATTTGATATTTTCTCTACTCAGTTTTTTTTACGTGTGACCTTAATGTGTGACTGAAAAATTCCTTTCAGGTTACAGTGACTGGAGCAAACAGAGGCTCATAAGACGCATGTCTGAGCTCGAAAAGGTGAGTGTTCCCTTGAGTAATAGAGAAATGAACTTTAAAAGCTGAAAAATATAGCTGAGACACAGTAGTGTGACTATTAATAGTCGCTAACTTTACATTCAATTTTTCCATTTATGTTTTTAAGAAAGCTGAAGAATCGGGATCAAATACTCCCCAAGTGGAAGTGGACAGCGCAAGGGCCACTCATGTTAGCACAGTGGCAACCAGTTCTGATATAGCCACTCAAAGTGTTACCGAGACTCCCAAAGGATCAGATTTCCAGCAGGAATGTATTCGTCTCCGTGGGCTTGTCAAGAAAATGAGGGAGGAGCGTGCTGATCTACAAGAGCAGTTAACTGAGAAGATGTAAGCCATTTATTAAAGATTCAGGTCTTGATTAAACTTAGCAAACCGGGAGGCCCCAAATTGTCAGTGAATCCACTGTGTTGTGGAGATTGCTGGTTGAAGTCTGAGCTGTGTGATGACTGTGACAGTTGGTGGCCACAGTTTGCACAGTTGAGCTCAGTGGATTCACAGTTTACTAGTGTCTTTCATTAGTGAGCCAATGAGCTGGGATTAGTTTCTAACCTGACACCTTAGCTCTTCTGTCGATGTTGTGGGTCTAACAGTGTGAAAAAAAGGGAATTCACATTTCAGATGAAGATGGTACGTTGTCTTCCTCTCTCCCCTGCTATTTAGAGAGGTGTGGTGGTCAGTTGAATTATCCAGAAGTTGTATATTTAAAATTGAGGGACATTCAAATGTACTTGGTGATTCCAAATAAAAAAAACACTTAACCCAGCTATTTCACTAGCAGTTTTTTGTACTGGGGTGCTGAATTTCTTTGAGGCACATGCGTATGATAGCGTCTTCTTTGTAAACAGAAAAGATTTGAAAGCTTCTTACCTGTAATGATGGTACAGAAATATGCCAGTTTAAAAGCCTGTTATTAGCACACAATCTCTCTCAAGAGTGAAACAGTGGAACAATGGAAGTAGAAGTCCACAGCCTTAGAATGTTGATTTAATCATCTCAGGTTTAGTTTTTTATTTATTGAAGTTGCATAAACAGTATTAAATAGAAATTTATGAATACATCTGGTGTCTATTGCAAAACGTTATAAGTCATCTATACAATGTATAAATAAGAATTGTTGAGGGACTGCATATAGTATGACCTCCCAATAAAATATAGCTAATTATTTTCTAAAAGTATTTTAGCAAGCTGGAACATAACATAAAAGCACAGGGCACAAGATGTGATGCCATTTTTAAAACAAAATCTTGATTTAACCAGTTAAATCACTTCAAAGTAAGTTCTAATTTCCAGGTACATCTTGGGCATATCCAATGACACAGTAAAGCATTTATATCAGTAGTTTGAGTGAAGTCCCGTGTCGAGGGGTTTGAACTCACAAATTCTCAGGGTAATCACTGTGTTGTGCCACGATGCTTTCATAAATATTTTCTAATTTCAGTGCTAAGATAAAACTACTGGAAAGTGAGAAGCTGGAAGTGATAAAGGATGCTGAGAGGCTGAAGGCAGTTGAAAAGGAGAATGCATGTCAAGAACTCAAGTACTTTCTGGTTTTCTTCATTCACATGCTTTGAACAATGAATATTTATTTCCATTTAACATTCTAAATAACGTTATTTATAAATAACTTTGTTAATATAATAACTCTGTTATTTATAAAACAGCAGTTACCTTTTTTCCATGTCTTGTATTATTAAACTTGCACAAAACGAGTATACATGGTAGGATGTTTTCCAACAAACAAATATTGTATATATTTATATTTATATAATTAAATAGATGATTGAGGTTTTTTTTTAATAATCAACTCTAACACCTTCCTTTACGTCAGAGAACAGATGGAAAGACTCAAAGAAAAAATAAAAAAGTTGGAATCAGAACTAGAGGATGAGAGACATTTTAAAGAAGAGTCTGTAAAATCAACTAAACAGGTAAAATGAAAAATATTTTTTTTTTTATTTGGGAGAATCCTGACAAATTAAATGCATGAAAAAGGTTAAAATTATGTTATATCGTACTCTTCTGGTTTTCAACGTGAGCGCAGGATGGATTTCCTATTGTCAGCTTTTGGATTTTATGTAGCTGATATCGGTCATCTATAAAAAGTAAACAGTTCAAATAAATGTTTACGTGATACGAGCATGATCGGTTAGTGCAGTGTTACACTGTTATATAAAACATGAGTCTTCAACACTGGTCCTGGAGGGGACAACTTCTGTTAGTCCTGAAGTACACTACCTGTTTTCTAAAGAGTATGAATACTTTGATCACTAAGAAGGTGATTCTTCAGTTAACATAAGCATGAATGCAAACAGGTTCTTCCATTCCTGCTTATTCTGTTCTGTTCCAGATGATCTCTAAATTACTTAATTTAACAAATCACCTGTTTAACAGGGTTGAGGCTCCTCAGAAGCAGGGTTGGAGAACCCTGATATATTATTTTATGCAACATTTTCAGAAAAACTGAGAAATAGTGTTATAGGTTATAGAGGCAGTACAGTAATTTCTTTTTTTATTCTCTTTGCTTTTTCTTTTTTCACAGAAATGCATTGGGGGTATAGATGTTAGATGGGTCATTATTTTTCAACTAAAGCAGTGTCCTAGGAATCATAGTCGTCATTGTTGTATTGTTTAAATGGTTATCATTCAGTCTTTTGGCAGCTTTCCAGGTAGTTTTCTACCCAGAACTATTTGATAACAGGCTGTGACAAAAGCTGTTTAACTCAGATTCAAGCTTTTTGCTGATGCCATTTATCTGCTTATATTGAAAAGCATATTGACTCAACTATGTTCTTTTTTAAACTTTTAGGAATTATTTCAGAGCACCATATTATAGTGTATAATATTAACTTCATCATTACAACCCTTGTAATTAGTGTATATTATGAAGTTACATCATTTGTATGTATTAAACCATCAATAGTTTCTACAGATTCTGTGATTTAATTAGTCTGACAGGTACTATTTTTTCTGTTAGTTCCTTTCTTCAGTAGGTTTTTTCTTTTCTGTATTTTAACTCTCAGCTTTTATAAATGTGTGAATTAGTACAATTTTCTAAATATATAACTACATTGTTACTAGATTTGTAGGAAGACATTCATATGTATTTTATATTTTTATGCCAGTATGGGCTTTATTTCCATTACACTGTGTCTGGCTTGAACATTGATCTTATCTAAAAAATGTTTTTGGCTGAGACCAGAGTTGGAAAGCAAATGAAAAGGTTTCCATTGTGATAGTCACAACTATCTACCATAAAGAGGCTGGCCACAATCCACTGTTCTACTCATCGTGCTTTGAAAGCATCCCTTTGAAACCCTTGAATCCTCAGTACTTCTAAACTGTAACACAATGGTTAACTGGCTCTGCCTTTTTCCAGGGTCAGAGAAGGGAGCCCTTCAACAAGGAATTTGGAAGTCAGTCCCGTGTCAACCCTGAAAAGGATCCAGAAAACACTTTGTTCCTCTCTCCATCCAACCAAGTGCATCGACATCAAAAAAGAGATGAAAAACAGGAAGAGGCAGCGAGAACCATTCAGAAACATTGGCACAGTTATAAAAATAGGGTAAAGTTTATTCCATTTCCAAAAACAAGCAAGGATTTAGCTGCTGATGTGTAGAACATATTTGTGATAATTTTGGCATACCCCAAAGGTTATAAAGTGAACATTTTCATGTACTGTAAGTAGACAACCGTGGCAGATGAACTCTTAGAGCAACTTTGTATGCAAATATTAACTTTTTTGCTTCATAAGATAGTAAGAAGTATTGGGTATTGGAGTAATTGGATATTTCCCAAACATTTTTTTGTTCTGGCAGTTTCTTGAAAATTAAACAGTGTTAACTTGCCTGAACAGTTCCTCACTACAGCAGCACTTTGTTTAAAGCAGTGACATCTGTTTCCAATCCTGAATGAATTTCATCAGATTTCTTATGAGTGACAATGTGAATATTTTTAGGAGGCGGAATTTTAACACTTTATTGACTTTATCCATGCATTTCATCATTTTGAAAACTAAGATTAAATCCTGTAGTCTCTGTTGTTGGAAGTTAGTAATATCAGTTATTTTACACCGTTTGTACATTACATTCACAACTCTTCTTTTTTTGGCAGAATGGAAGCAAAAGTGAAGATGCAAGCACAGATAATATTTCAGATCAGGTAAGTATTTTCCTACATGTAATATTTTTGTTATATATAGATATGTAGATATATTTACAATATGTCAGACTCACAGAAGTAAATGTTATTGATATTATGCAAGCAATTGCTAGCAAAATTGCTCAATCATACTTTGCTTTAAAGATGATGAATCGAATACCTGGCTGGTGCTTTTACCAGGGTTTAAAAAGATTAAGTTGTATCATGGTGCTTTTTTAGCACTGCTATCATATTTTAGTGCTTCACATGAAAGCTAGACCTTAGAGATGGATTCTTTCAGAATCTATGAGATAGCAGAGTTTATTTTACTATTTTTTTGTAGCAGTATTTCAGATTTTAACTTATGAGATTTAATTGTAGGCTGCAATTTTGATTCAGTCAGTGCTAAGAGGACACCTGAACAGGGAAAAACAATTAGCGGATCTGAAAGCTGCACAGATCAACAAACCACTCAGCTTTGAAAACAAGGTAATATACAAAATGTGTTATTCAAGCTTTTCAATTTTTGACTTTGGATTTCAGATATTTCCAGTTCCAATGACATACATATTACTTACTGTTTTAAATTATAATTCTTTAGCCATTTCTGTTGTCCTTCTAATTATAAAGTACAGTAAAACCGTCCTGCCACTAGATGGCTAATGAGTCCAATTCAGATTTTTTAATTAAACCAGCTATCATAAATAGGAGACCACATGTTCCAGAGCATCATAGCTTTAAATCCCATTAAGATGTTGATCATTTTGGATCATTGTGTTTAGCAAGAGGATGTTGCCAAACAATTGTGGCTGTGGTTTATGCTGTGCAAGATGCTCTGGCAGTTAAGTATGTTATCGTGGTTTTACGTTCTTTCAGAGCCCACATGTGAACAAGAAAATGAGCTCTCACAGCCTGGATAATGGTGATGAGCAGGCCGTGATATTACTGCAGTCAGCCTTCAGAGGTCACCTGGCACGCTGTGGACAACTCGACAGCAGGTGACTGACTAGAATTCACATCATTTTATTGCTGCACAGAATTAACACTCAGCAACCCTTGTAATTAGTGTGTCCACATTTAATTGTTTTATTACATAAAGAAATGTGCATTCGTTTCACCTACTGCTTAAATGCAGTGAAAGGTTAATATGCTACCTCTATGAGTAATCATTGTGTGAAATTATTCACTGTCATATAAATAATTAGTTTATGTAATCCTTCGGGGTTCAGATTTGTGTTTTTTTAGCCAGTGCATAAATCAGCTGTTGGTTTGGTTTTTACCCACAGCAGTCTGTGTTTTATTATTATTAGTTTCAGTACTGTAGGTTTTTATGTTTTTGTGTAGTTTGCTTTCTGAGAGAGGGACACTGAGTTCGACTCTTAGAAGCACAGGACCCGTTCCAGCACCGAGGAGGAAACCCTTTGTCCTTAAAAACCTAGCAGCTCAGGGTAATCTTCTTTTGGAGTCTTATTTTAATTCCTGTATATTTGCAGTGCAGTGTATGTACATTGTGGCGAAACGTCAGTAAGATTGTGTGTTTTAACTTAGACATGACATCATCCTAATGGTAGGCAAAACGAATTAACACACAAAAAATCTACTTTGTCATTATTGGAATAAAATTCAGCCAGCGTTCAATGTTTGTGTGAAAAAGTAAGTTGTTGAGTAGCTAGACACCCTCTTTAGCAACAATAACTTGACTTAAACTGTAGAAGCTCTCTAATTATTTTTAATAATTTTAATTATTAGAAAAGTCAAAAGCACAATGGATTATTTTTATTCTGTGTAATAAATACTCCTAGGTGGAAATTCAATTCCATTATTATACAGCAACTGATGTTACTCTTTTAGGGCTTCTTCTGTTGTTTTTTATTTCACCCTGAAAGCAACAGCTTGAGAGGGAGATTGGTGCAGAACTACCTAAAAATGCAGATCTGAGAGGTGAGGGGAGGAAACTGACTGCTTCTCGTTGTGTGCCAGGTTTGGAACCTGCCGCATGCAGTGATGATGAAGAGGCGAAGGAAGGCCTTGGAGAAGTCAATGGAGAAGGCCGTGGTGAAAGATGGAAAGCCAAAGAGTCAGAGGAGCCTAGCCCTCCTATTAAAAGACTCTCCTTAGGTAAGAACTGTTATTACAGAGAGTTAGATTCTTACATTCTTTGAGGTCTTGCATCCATAAATATATATTCCACAGTACAAATGTAATCTATGTAACGTATTATTTATTTATATCTGTCAGGGAACTAGCAAGAAAACCCCTTAGTTCAAAAATACTAGTCAAAACATTTCCAGTTCTTTCCTCCAGAAACATACAGTAAAGCAAGTCTGTAGGACTTACTTAGCAGTTTAAAATGTACAAGAAAAACTGTACATTTTACAGTTTTTTTTACATTGTAACTGCTTACCATATTCAGTACTCACTCATTAATTTACATTTAATATATATTGTCTACTAAACTGTTCCTATTTAGTTACAGCATATTTCTAAAAGTGCTTTACTCTAATTCATTTTAAAATGCTGAGCTTAGCTTGCCACTACTATAATTTGTAAGAAGTAATGAAGAATTAAATGCACCATGAATAAAGAATATTTTTATTAATTATCAAAGAAGGTACAGTAGTTTAAAACAGTTGTATTTTTTATCTAGCAGGAAAATTAAATCAACATCTGACTGCTGCTGCTCCTGCACAGACTTCAAAGGGTGGCGATTCAGATGACTCTGATGACATCATTGTTTCCCCATCACGGCCAATGAGATGATGAAGCTCTTGCTTTATAGATGTGATTCAGTCATATGGTTCAGTGAACTGAGTGCAATATGTATTTGCAAACTGCAAGCATCCTGGTTACAAAATCTTTTTTCACATCTCTCCCTTTTCTCCATTAAGAAAAACAAATCTGATAAGATTACAGAGATAGGAAAACCCTTTGATTGATAAAATATGATAAATGACATTTTCCAAATAGTCGTGTTAGGTTTGTATTAAATATTAATGCTATAAATCTATAAATGTAAGCATTGGTATATCGTTAGTATACAGTATGTATTACTGTATGTCCTTTTGAGCTAAGACAGCCTAGTTTGTGAGTCATACAGTCATCTCCTGTCTTTAATCTTAATGAATAGACAGTTTTTGTTTTCAAAAAAGCTTGTTCTGACCAAAATCAAGTGCCTGAACTCATTTGACAAACTTTATTGATGAAACTTTATATAAAAAAATTTTACATTTTCTATAATGTGTGAAAAGTGTATCCTGTACTATACACTGTATATATATATATTACTTCACAAGTCACCCTTGTGGCCATGGTTAACCTTTTTGATATACAATTACTCAAATGTGAAAACATTTATTATTGTTTGTGGGAATTTTGTAGTATGCACTTGTACTCACTCATAGCACCATAAATTAAACTACATGGTGTCAGAGAGAGTTCTATTATTATCTAAAATAATGTTTCTCAGCAGACACACAAAAGTGTGACCCATAAGCTTTACGCTTACATTTGTCTCTGATGTGATAATGAAACTAAATTGATCATTGAATTTGATGTTAATTGTCGATAAGTTGTTCAAAGGCATTTTATTTTAAAAAAAGTGTCGCCAGGAATATCTATAAGGCCGATGTCCCTAAGACAAATCTTAATTGTTTCAATCAGTAACTGTGTACATCTGATCTGCAATATGCTTTGTGCCTTAAAGTGTATTTAAGAAAGAAAATTGTATTTTAGTATGGTGATATTTTAAAGATTTATTTTTGTTTATTATTAAACATAAATTGAATGACTCTGTGTTTTTGCTTATTTTAATATAATGCATTCAACATTGATTTTGGATCAACAGAAAATGATGGCGGGCAGGCTGTGGCAGAAAGGGTCCCGTGGCTCGTGGGCCCAGAGCTGACTTGTCGGGGTGCTTGTACAGGTCCTCTGCGTTGTCTCTGTCCTCTGAGGGAGGAGAGTGATGTGGGGTTCGATCTCCGGGGTGCTGGGCGAGAGGGTCCCTCTTGTGAAGGCCCCCTTCAGCGTGCCGGTCCAACAGTGCCCACAGCCACTCAATCCAGCTCAAACACCACCATGAAGCACCATTAGGCCAAGCACATTTTTTTTATTCTAGAATTAAAATGGTTTCATTTAATTACTACATTGTTTTAATCCTCTCCAGTTTTCCCGTCTGTGAGAGGAAAGGTGAATTTGCAGAGGGTTTTTCGCTTTGTCCTAAGGTGCTAAGAATTAGCACTGGGTTGCATTGCCTGTTTAGAAATATCATGGCACCTAACACATCTGGATTATGCACAACCGCCGCATGACTAGTGACGAGACGAAGATTAGGCACATACAGTACAAAATGTTGCAAGTCTTTGAAAATGTGTCATTAAAAAAAAAATGATAGAGCACGAATTCTTATGTATCTGTTTGGTGCAAATATACAGTATCAATTATTTAGATGTGTATACATTGGATTTTACGTATGAAATGCATATTTTATTTCAAGGTGTTTTTCGAGTTTACCGCACAGCAAGCCCCCGGAGCGACAGCGGGTGCACTGCGCGCCGGAGGCCCCCAGGGGTCACTCGACTCCAACTCGTTGGCCTCCAGCCCTGCTCTCGCCCCCCTCGGTGAAGCTCGGCGGAGGACTGTGACTGCAGCAGGCTGGTGGGGGCTGAACAATGGTGTCCCTCTAGCCGCCTCCACCTCCCCACACAACCCAACCCGGATCGGGAGCAACCGAGTCGGGCGGAAAAGCAGAAAGGCAGCGCCGTCACACCGGACCGGACCGGACCGCACCGCAGGCGCTCCTGGGCCGCCGGAGGAGGATTCGACAAGCGGAGGACGGGGAGGAGGGCAGGACCGACGCACACGGGGGGCTGGCGGCGTTCACCGGAGCATCAAAACGTTGAGAATATCGAGCAAATGGTTTTCTCACAGCCATTAAGGCTGTAGTCGACGCGGGTAGTATTGCCTTCTTCTTGTTGTTATTATTATTATTATTATTATTCTGCGCGGAAACATCCAGTTTAAAGGGCAAGAGGAAAGTATCTCAACCCAAGCAGCGACGGAAAGCCCTGCTTTGTTTTGAACTGAATGGCTGAATGAAAGTGAAGTGAATTGATCCGATTTCTAATCACCGTGCATTTCAACAGCCCCGCTGCCCTACAGATTGCGTGTCCCCTTTTTTATTTAGGAAGTTGTGGTTGTTTGTTCGGTCGATATGGGGGCAACGTAAACATGGAATGGGTTTTCAAAGCGGGGACGCCGCCATAATATTTATCTTTTGCCGGAATCCGGGGAAGCGAAAATCGACACAATGTTTCTGGGGCAGCCCGGGCAGAGATTGAAGGACTCCGGCCCCAGGTCCTAAGGGCGATCCGACAGCCAGGAGTGGGGGGGGAACAAAATGAAACTAAATTAAAGGCGGAGTAGAAACAGAAATCGGAGGAACTGCTGTCTTACTCGTCGAGATTATTTCGGATGAAACATTAAAAGCGGCACGATTCCTCCCCCCAGGTGGTCGGGGTGCTCCATGCGTGCTGCAAGACAGGCTGGCTTTCATCGCTTTTTGCGTTCGGCAGAAAAAAAGAGACAGAGGGAGCAACTGGATTTTCACGTTTTAATGTGATCTTTTTTTTGGGGGGGGGGGGAGAAAATCACTTTCATTACTGGAGTTACCACGTCGTGTGCATTGTCTGTGCCTGGAAGACATTCGTGAATTGCGGACGGTGTTGGAGTACATGTACTTGGGAACTTCCTGGAGCGCTTAGACCATCGCAGTTAACAGCGCATTTCGTTTTACTCTGAAGTACCAGGGTATCCGTCGCCTTCTGTCATGGCCGCGGTGGTCAACTACTCACCTGCCTGGTGGGTCAACCTGCTGCACCGATTACCTCACTTCAGCCTCCAGTTTGAACAAATAAGCAGCGATTTTCGGCCAGAAGACTCTCAATACCAACAGGTAAGAGCAGTGCGAGCAGCCGTTGTGCATGAAGGACATCATCTCTCCCAGGGACCTCATTAGATCCTTTAAATTAATGTCCTGCCTATAATGTGCATCAAATCTGACGATTCTCAGGGTCAAAAAAGGCTTCCTTTTTCATTTTGCTGCCTGAAATTTCCTTTGTTTCTTTTTGGAATAGGAGTCCTCAGCAAGGACATACGAATTTCAAAATGGTTGTTCATTTTCTATAGAAAGGAAATATGACATCATGCTGAATGACCCGTATAAAATCCAGCCTCTTTTTGTGATCATATTTTGTGATAAATGTACAATGGCACCGCAGCGCTCATTTTCCTTAATATGTCGCGTTTTATCTTAATAAGACGGGTATTTTGAAGTCACACAGTGGGCAATTTTTCCTATTTCATGAGGGGCTATAAATCACCCACCGGTTCAAACCGACAGTGTTAACAGTGAAGCATCTTCCAGGATTTAACCAAAATTCAATCTGTTTAATTCTGAGGCAGTGCTTAGAAACATAGCATTATAGATCTGTGGACAAGGCTGGCGTTAGTCATGCTGCCATTATTGTAAAAGAGCCTTGCAGGACAGATACTGGCAATTGCTACCTTTGTTGACTTTTTTTCTGGTAAGCCTTTTTTTTATAAGTCAACACTTCTCCAAGTGGTTTTCTTCTGATGCTGCCGTTGATACCAGTCTTTTGGGATGGCACAAATTTAGCATGTTGCCTACCTAACCTTACAATACAGCTGTGCACGTCGCTTTTTTAATAGGCAGCTATAGTGTGCAGCCCACTCCTTCAACAGACGCATTCCAGTGGTCCGGTTTTTATCATGTATTTATTTACCTTTCCTCTGATGGACTGGGGCTGTGAGTTGGTATGAGTGTCAAACCTTCAAAGCTACCGTGTCCTCCTCGGTATTCTCTTATCATTAGCTTATTTAAAGAGATACATAGCCAGCACCCTGGGTTCAGTTCCAGACCTGGGGTGCTGTCTGGGCGGAGTTTGTAGGCTCTCCCTGTTTGTGCTTGGGTTTCCTCTGGGTGCCCTAATTTCCTCCCACTGTCTAATTATATACTGGTAGGTTAACTGGCTTCTGGGGGAGAAAACTGGCCCTGGTGTGTGTGCCCTGGGGTAGACAGGCATGCTATCCAGGGTGTATCCTGCCTTGTTTGTCAGGATAAGCTCTGGCTCCACTGTGATCTAGATCAAGTGGTTAGATGGTTGGATGGAAAGTCAGCAGAATCACAGTAGTGAATACAGTAAAGAAGTGACTTTAGAATTGACTAAATCCTAGTGATGGTGACTGCATTTAATCTTAATATGGGCATTGTTTTCCTTACTCCAGGAACACCATTCAAACTGAGCATGCTTACATAACCCAAAGGAGCTTGAGGTCCAAGAGGCTGGTGAATCAGAGTTTAGCAGGGCTGAGTTTATTGTGTGTAGGAGGAACAGATCATTTTGAAAGCTGACAGGGTAGTGGTTAAAGTGAGCCGAGATATACAGTACGTTTTACATAAGCAGCTGCATTAGTGTGTAATTCTTTCTTGTGAGCAGTGACTCATACTGTAAAGACACTCTTGGAGCTTGGACTCCTCAAGGAAATATTAACACCTTTAACATCTCGGGAATTCACCTGAACGGTAGATGAAAATATCTGAAGCGCTGAAGCACATTAAAACAAAATTTCATACTGTATTTTATAAAGCCTTCCTCTGATTGTCACAAGAAACAGTAGTGCCTTGCAAAAGTATTCAGACCCTTTCTGTTTCCCATTTTGCAAAATTTTTAAACTAAGTATTTTGTTCAAAACCTCAATGCTGAAGCTAAAGGTTCCTAAGGGTAAGTTACAGTAAAAGGCAGCAAAAACTGAAGAGAAAATGTTTTTTTGAATGATTCCTCTCATGTTGAGGCCCATGCATCTTTGGCCGCAGTTCTTTCTAGAGTCTCTGCAAGCTAGACAGAGTGCTTGGGGATTTGGTCCCAATTTTGGGTCTGAACTCGTTTTCCTCGAAGATTTGCTGGTATTTTGCTCCATCTTAAGTTCCATCAGCCTTGACAAGATTCCCAGCTCCTGCTGATGAAAAGTAGACACCAGGGATGGTGTTGACCGTGTGATGCACTGTGTCAGATGTAACACCACTTTGCATTTAGACCAGAAGTAAAAAAAAATGTGCCATGTCTTTGCCGTCTCACTTAGGTTCTTTGTTTTGAACTCCTTTTGGGATTTGAGGCACATTTTTCAGTTTCATTCAACTGGATTGACTGGGCTGTGATTGACCCAGGGGCAACTTCTCCCATCGCAGTCACTGAACGCTGGTTAGGGGTGTCACAGTTCCCTCTTTGCTCTGTTAGTGGGGATAACGTGTCTTCCTCTTCTTCAAGATTGACTTCATCATGCCCACGATGGCCACAGAGATTACTTCTTTGTAATGTTTTTATAAAGTACACTTCTCTTCATCCGTCTTTATACAACTTAATCCCTGAGCTGTTCAGAAAACGTCTTGGTCTTCATGGTCTGAATACTTTTACAAGTCACTTCATTTGTCACTTTGAGGCTGTAGTTTCATTCTAAGTTCTCTTTTCTTTTACTGTAAACATGACATTGTACATTATGTCTTTGACAAGACTGGACAGGATAGGGTTCCTGGGATTATCAGAAGAAAGCTTTTTAATGTTTTAACGAAAAAATGGAACTGGTATCTTCATTTATATATTATATTTGTGGAATGAACTTGTAATGACCTGTCTGGTGCAAAGAAACCGCTTTCAATAGGAAGACATTTTATTTGGAGCCTAATTGACGTTCAAGTATTGGATCATTGTTAGGCTGAACAGATTCAAATGTTGTATGATTTGTTACTTGAATAGAAGAGTTATCTCAACAGGAAGGTGTTATTTGTCATCTGAATGGCATACAGTATTTAAGGGATTAAAATGTCAACTAACGTTAGATTTAGATAACATCTTATAGTGTAGGTACGGTGAAATGTTTGATTTGTTTTTAGTCTTTTGAGAAGGAGAGAGGTGAGTGGTCTTGTTCCTACTTATTTTGTTTGGGTTACAGGTGCTCAATACAGGTCATTTTGAGTTCTAGGTCAAAAAAGTATTTTCTTTCAACGCAATAATATTCCATGGTATAAAGCAACATATATGTTTCTTATTCATCCCTGGAATGACAGAAAATGGCTAAATCATTAAACTTGCCCCTTTCTCAGGCCAGCAACGTAAGAATAACTGAGTTTGAATTATCCAAGGAATACCAATACCGCAGCCAGGTGGAAGTTTTAAAAAGGAAAGCAGCCGTTAGTGATGCTGTGTAGGCGTGAATGAAATAGTAAGTTTGCAGTCGGAAAGCTACAATAGAAAGAGTAATGGAGAGACAGCAGGTATCTATGAGGTCCAGAAGTGTATTTATTGCTGAGAGTTTTTTATGGGGGTTAGCTGTCTCCCGTGAGAGAAAACAAAGAAGTCGGACTCCATATGTAGGATTTCACTGTTGTGTTTCCTGGAGTGGGTGACAGGGTTGCTGTTTGTCAGCGACACTTGGAAGCTCTCCTGCCAGTGCAGGGAGCACGCAGAGCTCTATATGGGTAATGCCCTCCCCTGCTGCTGCTTAGTCGAGAGCTCTTGTCTTGGCAGGAATGCGGTTTGTAAGATGGGGAAGGTGGGGGCAGGGCAGGGCTGCCTCTTACTCAACATTTTGGCCCAGATTGGCCTTTTTTGGTCATCAGGATCTGTGTCCAGTGGTGGGCAGTTTCTCCAGCCTTTGTTTTACATGTTTGGTGTTTTTTTATTCCAACAGAAGTATTGGGAGGGGGACAAAATTCAGTACAGAAACTTGGGGCTTGTAAATGATTTCTGCAGCTCAGCTTCTCCCAGCGCTCCACTGTCAGTGGAGCTTTGGATCTTCGGAAGTTTAATTTCTTGCTTGGATCTAAGCTTGGAAGTTTAATTTCTTGCTTGGATCTAGTCATCCTGCGTTGTTGCCCCCAGGCATCTCCTGTGACCTTGTAATGCAGTTACACACCCTTGATTTTGTCGGGCGTAGTTTTAGGTATGTGTGGCAAACAAAAATGTTGTGTTGTCATGAATACAGCTTAATAGAGCATCCTATATCCATCTGTTTGTCTGTTGCCTTTTATTCCTAGGCATCAGTTTCTGCAGTTTTCTATTATCGATTATAGGTTGTCTCAAATGTTTTCTCTTGACTAGTGAAACAGGTTCATTCTTGTTTACTGCACCTGCATTAGTGTAGAGATTAAACATGAAAATCATTGTGATTGTTGGGATTAAACTAATCTAGTCACTGTGAAAAATCTTTGGTGGATTTAATACTTGGGACTTACTCTTAATGACAGTTTTTCATGTTTATGGATGACGTGAGTAGGTTCCCGCAACATTAAATTCCTCAACTACATTTTGAGACAATCGTCTTTGCGGACCTTATATTCTGCTCACCTCCTCTTGGCTGAGGTTTAAACGGGAGCATGTAGTTGCTTCTGTGACAAGTGATCCAAAAAATTCCAAAGAGTTTTGGTGAGAAGTTGAATGATGTCACCGGTGTTCTTTCAGCTTACGTGAGGCGATGTACTGTAGCCCATTGAGCAGGGGAAGACAATGTGAAGCCGCCATCTTCGAAATGAATAAACACTTCTGAAACCTAAAAGGATTTAGTAGAATAAGTCGGGTGAAGTGATGTAAAGCTCCGTATCTGATCTCGCTGCCAACCGGTTGCTGCTTTAAAAAGCAAGCGAAGGGCACGGACAAAATAGCCCTAAAAACACCTGTTTTGTGTGCAGGTTGCTTGTCAGTTTTTCAAGTGATATTTGCCGACAAAGGCCACACTTAAGCCTTAAGCCTGGCTGTGCCTCGGCAGAGGAGCTGTGAACGGTTTGAGCCGTCCATTTGAAAGAAAGACGTGGGATGCGGACAAGGATGAGAAGAGAACAGAAGTGTAATACTGGTGTTTTTTGTCCTCTAGTGGAAAAAC